AGACAGACAGACAGACAGACAGACAGACAGACAGACAGACAGACAGACAGACAGAGACAGACAGAGACAGAGACAGAGAGAGGGGATGGAAGGAGGGGAGAGGGGATAGGTAGATATATAGAGAGACTGGGAGACAGAGAGGGATAGAGACAGGTAGACTAAGATATCGATAGCAAGAGAGAAGGAGAGAGAGAATGAGAGAGAGAATGAGAGAGAGAGAGAGAGAGAGAGAGAGAGAGAGAGAGAGAGAGTCGAATCGAATGTGAAAACAAGTTTCCTCACTTGAGAAGTTGCTCCTTTTTAAAATGTTTAAAACGCACTAAATTTAGATCTAAAGCATTTTTTATCTTTAACTTTTCAACTGTTGTGGAACGTGTGGCGTTTCTCCACGTAACATGAATACGATATGGTCGTATAAAACAAGGTAGGCTTCTTTATCTCGCGGGAACTTCTGAACGGTCTGAATTAGGAAATACAAACCCAGAAATCGATTTAGAGAATTTTAGAAAGGAAGAGAAAAAGGCGTTCGTGGTCGAGAGGTTACGGTGTTCGCCTTTCATTCCATAGGTCCCGGGTTCGAATACGGATAGCGACGGAAACTTTTCTTCTCTAAAATTGTCTCCTTTCGCCCCCTTTCGTGCTCTGTAACAATGTTCTGTCGTCTGCTTTCGCCTCCACTATACTCCCCCCCACCCCCTCTCCTCCGTTGCCCACTCCTATCTGGGCTCCGCTGACTCTTTCTGCAACCTTGATCTACTGCTACTCATGGCTCCTTCTTACTGCTGTCTTTCAGCCATACCTCTGGTCTCACTGTTGGTATGATCTAAGGCCTAGACTTCTCGAATAAGAGCGAAAAATCTCGGAGGTCCCGTGTGCAAGTTGCGCAAGATAAATATCCCTTGGTGGTCCAAAATCGATAAGCTCTAGCGTAGGCCTCGCCCCCACCCGGTCAAAAATTAAAAATTTCCCACCAACTGAACATTTTGATGTGTCCCGCGCGCTCATATTATGGCCTTGTGCAGTTGCAAGCGCCGTAAAACACTTACAAAAAACAACAACCAACAACGCAAAAACAAAAACACAAAAAACACAAAAAAAACCAAAAACAAACCAGGAGAGGTCATGAGCAGAAAAAAGAAGAAAAAATGAGTTGTAATAATAATTGCTTCCACCATGAAAAGAAAATGTTCAAAGAATATTTATTTGAAAAATATTTCTAATTTGATAATAATCTTGTGGTTACAATGCAAGCTCTCTTCACGGAAAAAGCAAATTCGGCACCATTCATTTGAACAACCTTTGGCAACCACAGAATTCTACACAAAGTGTAGAAGAATTCTGTGTGAATTCTACACTAAGTGTAGAATTCTGTGTTGGCAACACACTTTGAGCTAGTCGCCCATCGCTGGCAAACTGCCAGATTGTACTCCCCAAGAACGGCAACTCTATCACTCATTACTTCCGGTATTCATAATAAACAGGAAAAACAGCAGACAAGACTGTTAGAGAAAAATATTGACAAGCAGGTAGATCTAGATCTAGATCTGTACTATTATTATTTCTATACTAAATGATGTTTATTCCCCTTCTATTATGTTCTTTTAGGATGATAGATGAGACGTTGTCCTCTCTATTTCGAGTGTTTCCTCCTCAACAGCAGTGGCGGTGGGTAGTGAAGGCTTGAGCCCCTCACCCCCACCCCCTCCCCACCCCAACTCTATCCTTTACTTTAGTTAATGAAAGTTTCTTAAATGGCCACCTCTATTCCGGGTGAGAATAGGGTAAGATTGTACTTTACCGGACCACCGGTCGGAACTACTTTCGCTGTGGCGCCCCTGGTGCCTAGTGGTCCGCTGTTCTTCGTTTCCGAGCTCCCCTACTCACTCTCCTACTCAGTTTTCTACGTCCTCACTCTTCAACTGCCAGCAATCGACTGCCGTCTCTTACCGGGTTTTTCAGTCATCACG